ATTTTTAGCAGATTGTTTGCATAAAAGTATGGTAGGATTCGGTACGAGAGACAGAGATTTAATCAGGTTAATTGTAACAAGAAGTGAAATTGATTTGGGTGACATTAAAATTGCATTTAATAATAAATACGGTAAAAGTTTGGAATCTTTCGTCAAGGTATTTATTTAAAGTACATTCCGATGACAAAATTTTTAAGGTATTCATAAGTATAAGGTTCGGTTTTTTTTTTTTTTAGGGTGACACTTCGGGCGATTATAAAAAATGTCTGTTGGCAATTATGGAACAATAATAACTCGAATGATGACGTAAAAAAAGATCTATTTCGCGGGGGGGTTAATTATGTGGCAAGACAGTTTTAACTGTGTTCGTTATACCTGTGCCTCTTTTTTTTTTAATAATCGTGCCTTTTTTGTATTGTTTAATAAAAAATTTTTATAAATTGACATTTAATATAAATATTAATTTTTTTTTTTTTGTAAATTTTTGAAATCAATTTCTTCTCTTTGAGATTCCTTGTTATGCGTCAACCTTCTTTTGATACCCAAGATGCCGCAGACGGTTTTGGACGCGCTTTTGTGACGTATCTAGCTTCTCTGCAATGTCACTTGTCGAACTATTATTATTAATCTTTTTGGTCATTATAGATCTCCACTGAATGCCCAGAGCGCTCCTCATCTTTCAAAGGAAACTCTCTAGAACGGAATTTCGCAAACCAGTACAGACCTTGCCCTTCTTCTAAGGCTTCATGACCCTACCCAACTTTTTATGGCCTTGTGTAGTATTAACACCCTTTGGAAAATAAAAAAGCAAAATGTGGTGAAAATGCTCGCTTTAGCTCCCCATGTTTAAGTTTTTTATGCTCACACACACAACAGTTCGTTGAAATGTTGATACTGCATGTTCCATAAGGGCCCAAACTTTATGGCAAACAAGTACCAACTATCTGTCGGTGAGCAGATCGTCATCAAACAATAGGTTTTATTTTTATTTTTAATAAATTTACTAAACCGCGAGGGGGGAGGGAAAAAAACAAAATGGATTAAACAATGATTAAACGAATTAAGAAAATATTAAAGGATTAACTCTAATAAAAAAACAACAACAATAAATAATTCAATTAAAAAATATTTTAATGAAAAAAAAAAACATATATAATATTTATATATACAGCCATACAATTAAAGTATATTTTGCTGAAAAAAATTATTAAAAAAAAAAAAAACTAACGTACATAAAAATAAAAAAAAACTTTTTTTTT